GAAAATAAATTAGCAATTTTATACAATAAATATATTCTGTTCTAATATAAACAAATGAGTTTCGCATGTATTCCTGATTTTAGCTAAATTTCTCGTCTGTATGAATACTTTTTGAGTATTCAAACAATACAATTTTTAATTTTCGCTTATTTTTCAACTGATATATTTTGTATAATTAATACACATCATTTTGGTGTATATAATTTTAAGAAACATACAGTTTATTTTATTCTTTATGAATAAATTGTTAATTATCCAACAAGAAATGATCGTTAATTAAATGTCGAATCGGCGTCAAATTGGTGTTAAAATTATCAAATTATCAATTTAAATCGATTCGACATTTGATGACTTATTCTCTGAATAACATTTACTTTTTAAAAATAAAGTTTTCTTAAAAATATTTTCTCTGTACGAATACTTTTTGTACTCACTGTACATATATATCAGAATACTGGCATTTTTAAAGCAAAGAAAATTAAAGTTAGTCTTTGCTGGATGTGTAAATTAACTAAAAAATCTTTCAATCGATTTATATGTAAGTTTATAAAAATTATAAATCCTATTATCTATCTTTGTTTTGTCCAGTTTTATTATCTATAAAATGTTTTATAAAATCCAGTTTTATTGTCTATAAAGTTTTCATTCAATAAGAAGATTATTTTTCATGCATCAACATTTTCTGTGCAGATAAATAAACTTCTCTTTTTTTATTAGATTTTATATATAAAAAAAATAATTAATAAATATTATATGATTTGATATAACAGATTTAAAATATAAATAATATTATAGAATATTATTTCAGCAAAAATAAATTATACTAAAAGGATAAAATTTTTCTTATTTTTCTTACTTGTTTGTCGTATCTTAAAAATTTATAATCTTCGATCGACGATTTTATATTTTCAGCCTTTGGAAGTGCGTGAGATAGGTCCGGATCGATGCTACAAAGCGTGTCAACTCGGAGTGTGGAGTCCGATTTGTAGTAAAAAGCTTCAGGGTATCGTGAAACTTGCCTCGGCGCTCGAGAGTGGCAGATACGTCGCAAGGGACATCGGTAAGTCCTGTTCTATCCCAGGCGTACACGACTCGCGGTAGTTTATCGAGTGAGCAAAGCAGGTTTCCTAACTGTGTGAGAGAAGAGGAGGAAAAGAGGAAGAGAACTTCCGTCGCGAGTTTCCTCTTTTCGCGGAAGAAATAAGCTTTGGTGGGGAAAATCGCCTGCGGCTTCCTTGTCTGAGAAAGTCTTTTGGATCCCGGTTAATCGAGCACAATTCGTCCCTCTTCGCGTTCCAGTGTTCAAGTTTAGATAGAATAGCCCTCGGGAATTATCGAGTTTAAAGTTTAAGTAGCCAGCGATTTAGAGAGTTTAAGTGTTCATTTTTAATGTTACGTTTTGTGAATAAGCAGGAAAGTATGGAGCTCATTCCCTGTGGCAGTTAACAACAATTGGCATTTCTATAATATTTGCCATAGCGTTTCAAAGATTTATCCTTTACCGTTTTAATATTTATATGCTTTATTAAGTATATGGCTTTTATACATAAACTTCCACTCAGTTAGCTTGGATAGAACGTATATTATTCGCTTGCTCGTAGAGCAAAACGAGAAAAGTGAATAATGTAATTTTGTAAAGTAAATTTTGATGACCTAGCCATTACCGCAAGCTCAGTTGAGACTGAATTATTTGCATATGCCAGAGAAAGATAAATAGTAAGCGCAGATTTTTCAATAACTAATCAATATAGAAAAGATATTTGCAATTAGCAACTTGAGATTTATAATGCATTTTTTCTATAATTTATTCCAAGATATATTAATTTCAACTAAAATTACAATAATCAAGTTTTTTATAATATAATTGCAATATCGATAATACAACGTTTTACGAGTATTAAAATTTTTCATTACACGTCTCGATCGAATAAGTATAATAAAAAAAAGATGCAAATAATTAAAACACATAATCTTACACTGAGCTTATCAAGTAATGGAAATAAATACTGATGAAAAATATCGTATTTGTTTGAAAATAATTGGCTGAAACATGGTCTTTATATAAAAGAGAAGAGTTCAATCTATTCAGTTTAGTATTTCAGTTTTATATTTCAATATATTAAATGAATTCGAAGCTTATTCGCAACTGAGAATTGTATGTATGCATGCACAAGTTTGATTATAATAAATTATTAATAAATAAAATTTAAATGCAAAAGGCAAATAATTAATTTTTACAAAAAATTGCATAAAATAAAAATAGAAATTACAAAAACATATCGCAAATTTTTGTTTTTATCAAATGAATTTTATAAGATAGTAAAATATAATTGCGAAAAAAGAAAATATCTTGTATCCAATTATTTAATTGTAAAAAACGAAATCTATCGATTAATTTACATGTATTTATTTAATCTATCTATTCATATCCTATTAATAGTGAGTGGCGCTTTTATTTTGTGTTAAACTAGGTGGTGCAGACCCCGAAAGAATGACTCCCTTGAGAGTAGAGGAATATCTGGCGGAGTTGTTTTGCGGATCGAATGTCTCGATGCAAGTGATATCCGATCAGGATACGCTACTTCAGGAATACCCACTATTCGCTTGTGTAAATCGTGCTGCCTCAGTAATACCGCGTCACGCCGGTAGAATTATATTTTTGACTTATGAGCCACCCGCTTGCTTGGAGACTATCTTGATCGTGGGGAAAGGTGTCACTTATGACACCGGTGGCACCGACATCAAGTGCCAAGGCATCATGTTTGGCATGTCAAGGGACAAATGTGGCGCGGCCGCTTGTGCCGGATTCATGCAGGTGCTGTGTAATATATCATCGAGCATTATACATCATGCTGAAACGATCTCGTTTCACCTCACTTCTATTAATAATATGTCGTTTTAATCAGCTTCCTGCTTGGCTATAAAAGCTGGTAGATTCTTGAATGATCATCATAAGCGAACCGTAATTCTATTTCTTATGGCATTACGGTGTAGGGGTATTAATGATCTCTGATGCAGGTTTCCTCCCCCCCACCCTCTATATATATAATATATATATAATT